TCTTTTCCCACTATTTCTATTTTATTACTTAAGGCCACCGATGCCATGTTATTTAGTATTTTAAAAATAAATACACCTATATTATAATATAATCGTTGCCTTACGGACATAAACTGCAGCGCCTGCAGCATGTCCTCAACTTTGGTATATCTATTACATTGCAATATGACTCTCATGGCACGGTTTTGAGCTACCTGCAGTTTATTCAACTGCGTTTCTCCCATCCCGACTAATAGAGTGGCACAATACTCGAAAATGAGGCGCCATTATGGACTTATATACAATACATCTAGTGTAGACTGACACGAAGTTACCTATTCTGTTTAAAAAACTAGTCTTTTTCCCTATTTTCTTAAGCATCATCAATAATTATACCTAGAGAGAGATGAAACGGCAACATGAATGGTTTAACAAAATTTTACGCGCATATCGGAATATATTTACATTTTCTATATGCTCCAATGTGTGTATAAATTTATTAAAACATTCCTGTTGTATGTACATACAAACATCGGACATTTGTTTTGACTAAACTGGTTGCACTAGTTCAGAGGTTATATTTTTTATTCCAATGTTGAGTAAAAAAGACAACCTCTTAACTAGTGCAGCCAGTTCATGAACAGATTTATAGAGATTCACAAAATTATTAATTTCATTTTTATTTTTTTAGTGTGACGATGACTACAATCTCATCGTGACTGAAAACCAAAAATTAAAAATTAAAATGCAGGAATTGCAGCGTCAGTTGGCTGCTGCAAAACAAGCTGCACAGGCAGAGATTCCACCAGTGGCACAGGCAGAGGTTCCACAAGCTACTCAGGCAGAAGCTCCACCAGCTGCTGATGCAGAAATTCCATTAGCTGCTCCGCAACCTCAACAGCCTGCAGTAGTGGCTAATATCCTTAACCCCCCCAAAAAGAATGCTTTACGTAAGTATAAAAAATTAATTAAACAAATATATTATATAGAAAGATTGAAATATATACATAAATATTTATATATAAATTTTGTTACCGTAATATATAAAACTGCTCGATGGTCACGGGCAGGAAACCGACGGGGACGTGGTCGAGGACGCGGAAGTAACCGCGGACGCGGACGTGGCCGCGGACACGGACGAGGAAATTCTATATATATTAACATGTAAAATATATATAGCTGCTATATAACGTGCAGTTAACGTGAATGTTACATGTAAAGTACACATTAATAGTAATTTCTCATTTATATATGTAATTTTTGTATCATAACATATGTTACATTGTAGTTGTATTGTAATTACATCTCAGATATCATTGTAACTCATCGATAGATATAGTAGGATGCTGAAAATAATCTTTCGATAAGTTATTATGTTATCTGGAATATAATTATTGTAATATAACTATAATGTAACATATGTTATATTACAAAATGTTACTTTTATAAATATGAAATTATAACTAATGTGTCCTTAACATGTAACATTCACGTCAGTTAAACATGTTATATAGCAGCTATATAAATAAATAAATGTAATCATGTTATAATAAATAATTATATTATATGATAAATAAAGATAATTGTATTAATAAATATATATATTAAAAAACATAAATTAAATTTTTTAAATATTTATTTTGGTTGGTATTACAAAAACAATTTACAAAATACTGCTATATAACATGTGTAACTAACGTGAATGTTACATGTTACACACATTAGTTATAATTTTCCAATTATAAAAGTAACATTTTGTAATATAACATATGTTACATTGTAGTTATATTATATAATTATATTCCAGATAGCACAGTAACTTATCGAAAGATTACTTTGAACATCCTACAATATCTATCGATGAGTTACAGTGCTATCTGGAATGTAATTATAATACAATTACAATGTAACATATGTTATTACATGTAACATTCACATTAATTACATGTTATATAGCAGCTATATAAATTTTACATAAATATATATATTGTTTTTCCTCGTCCGCGTCCGCGTCCGCGTCCGCGTCCCCGTCGGTTTCCTGTTGTTGACCATCGATTAGTTTTATATTTTACTGTAACAAAATTTTTATGTAAATATGTATGTATATATTTCTATCTTTTTATATAATATATTTGTATATATAATTTTTGTACTTACAGAAAGCATTTTCTTGTGGGGGTTAACAATATTAGCCACCACTGCAGGCGTTGGTGTACATTGAGATTGCGGAGCAGCTGGTGGAACCTCTGCCTGAGTAGCTGGTAGAACTTCTGCCTGTGCAGCTAATGGAACCTCTGCTTGAGCAATTTGTCTTTTAGCAGCCAACTGACGCTCCAATTGCTGCACTTCAATTTTTAATATTTCGTTTTCAATCATAATAAGATTGTAGTCATCGTCACCCTAAAAAAGTAAAAATAATAATGAAATAAATAATTCTATGAATCTCTATACAAATCTGTTCATGAATTGGCTGCATTAGTTCAAATGTTGTCTTTTTTAACATTGGAAAGAAAAATGTAACCTGTAAACTACTGCAACCAGTTCAATCAAAACAAATAGATCTGATATGTTTATATGTACACACAACAACAGGAATGTTTTAATAAATTTATGCACACATTGGAGCATATAGAAAATACAAATATATTTCGATATGTGCGTAAAATTGTGTTAAACCATTCATGTTGTCATGTGATAAGAACATATAATATAAAGGAACGAATTATAATTAATAAAATAGAAATCTACTTACTTCTTGAATCACTTTGTTCTTTTCTTTAGCATTCGGCGTTTTCTTTTCTTTATCTTGACTCATTTTAAATAAATATAATATCACTGCGTGCGAGCTTGCAAGACGAGTATACAATAGATGCCGGTCTGCGGTTAATGAGACAAGAAAACGTCGGCACTTTTGTCAATTTCGATATAGTATACTGCCCGTCTTGCAAGCTCGCAGTGATATTATATTTATTTAAAATGAGTAAAGATAAAGAAAAGAAAACGCCGAATACTAAAGAAAAGAGCACAAAAATTCAAGAAGTAAGTAGATTTCCAATTTATTAATTTATAATATGTTCTCATTATACGGCAACATGAATGGTTTAACAAAATTTTACGCACATATCGGAATATATTTACATTTTCTATATGCTCCAATGTGTGTATAAATTTATTAAAACATTCCTGTTGTATGTACATACAAACATCGGACATTTGTTTTGACTAAACTGGTTGCACTAGTTCAGAGGTTATATTTTTTATTCCAATGTTGAGTAAAAAAGACAACCTCTTAACTAGTGCAGCCAGTTCATGAACAGATTTATAGAGATTCACAAAATTATTAATTTCATTTTTATTTTTAGTGTGACGATGACTACAATCTCATCGTGACTGAAAACCAAAAATTAAAAATTAAAATGCAGGAATTGCAGCGTCAGTTGGCTGCTGCAAAACAAGCTGCACAGGCACAGATTCCACCAGCGGCACAGGCAGAGGTTCCACAAGCTACTCAGGCAGAAGCTCCACCAGCTGCTGATGCAGAAATTCCACCAACTGCTCCGCAACCTCAACAGCCTGCAGTAGTGGCTAATATCCTTAATCCCCCCAAAAAGAATGCTTTACGTAAGTATAAAAATTAATTAAACAATTATATTATATAGAAAGATTGAAATATATACATAGATATTTTTATATAAATTTTGTTACAGTAATATATAAAACTGCCCGATAGTCACGGGGAAACCGACGAGGACGTGGTCGAGGACGCGGACGTGGCCGCGCACGCGGCCGCGGACACGAACGAGGAAATACTATATATATTAATATGTAAAATATATATAGCTGCTATATAACGTGTAGTTAACGTGAATGTTACATGTAAAGTACACATTAATAGTAATTTCTCATTTATATATATAACTTTTGTATTATAACATATGTTACATTGTAGTTGTATTGTAATTACATCTTAGATATCATTGTAACTCATCGATAGATATAGTAGGATGCTGAAAATAATCTTTCGATAAGTCATTATGTTATCTGGAATTTAATTATTGTAATATAACTATAATGTAACATATGTTATATTACAAAATATTACTTTTACGATGGGGAATTACAACTAATATGTACTTAATATTTAACATTTACGTTAATTACACATGTTATATAGCAGCTATATAAATAAATGTAATGTTATTATAATAAATAATTATATTATAAAAGAAACTATATTGTAATTATTATTAATGTATTTTTATTAATGTAATAAATGTAATTATATATCAATATATACAGTATATATCAATATACACATTAGCTCTCTCTCTCTCTCCCCCTCTTTTTCTCTCTCTCTCTTTATCTGTCTATCTATATCTATCTATCTATAACTTGTGTTACTGCATGATATAAATGTATAATATGTATGATAGAAAGGGAGGGGAGAGAGAGAGAGAGAGGAAGAGGGAGAAAGAGAGAAGGAGAGAGAAAGAGAAGAAGGAGAGAGAGAGAGAGGGAGAGGAGAAAGAGAGAGAGGGAGAGGGAGGAGAGAGAGAGAGAGAGAGAGAGAGAGAGAGAGAGAGAGAGAGAGAGAGAGAGAGAGAGAGAGAGAGAGAGAGAGAGAGAGAGAGAGAGAGAGAGAGAGAGAGAGAGAGAGAGAGAGAGAGAGAGAGAGAGAGAGCGAGGGAGCGAGGGAGCGAGAAAGCGGGAGAGAGGGAGGGAGAGGGAGGGAGAGGGAGAGAGAGAGAGAGAGATGTATAATCTTGACATATTAACAAATAATAATTATTTAATCTTTTATAATTAATTGCGTTATAAGAAAATATACAAGGATTTGCGAAAAAATTTATTTGATTTTCTATACAAAAAATTTTATTGAAAAAAAATTAATTTGCTAACAAAAGAAATCGAAAATTATAATCATTGATATGTAAACATGTTTATACAATTTGTTTATACAGTATATATATATTTTTAACTCGGTAACTCTTGAATTATTGTAATTCATATATATGCTACGTTATCAATTTTACTTAAGGCAAAGTACAATATGCTTGGTTGTAGTAAGTTGTTCATATATTGAATTTGGCTTTGATTTTTCGAGAATTTTCTCATAGTTCATGTAGGCTATAATTTTACTTGAAATGAGATTTATAACACCCGATGGTATTGTTGCTGTTGAAAATATGTCACAATATTTTACTAGAGTGCACACATCTGGATTACATATCACAATGACAGCATTGCCAGTAATTAAACATTGTGTTAACTCGCGAAATAGAGTAACTGCATCTTTCTGTTCAAGAAAAATAACACCTTTTGGTATACGAATTTTTGTTACTTCAAATTTGTCATTCTGATGACAATTCACGTGATTCTTATAGTAATATGCCAATTTTATCCAATGAGATATTTCATTCGCTAATAAAGGTTCACTATAAGAGAAAGAAAAGAAGGAAATATTTATAAAATTATCAAATATGAATAGTATTAAATAAAAATTAAGAAATATAAAAACTTCAATAATTTGTGTAAATTACTTGTGTACACGTACTTAGTTTGTAATATTGACGTAAGCTTGGATAATATACATATTTTAGAATCAATAGACTTTTCTGTCCAGATTCTAAATCCTTCTGTAGCTAACTCAACACATTTCTCAAAATCTCCTCTACAATATTATATATGTATATATATTAATCGATTAAGTTATAAATGTTTAATGTAATGTTATTAAATTTTTTTAATTTTAAAAGTTATAAAATAATGTCAGAGAAATGTGTGTATATCTGTACCTTGTTGCATTTGCCAGTAAAATACCATTGTGTTCCTAATATATATGTCATCGATAGGTTTTTGCCACATACCACCATAAAACAGATTATAAATTGTACCTAATTTTGGATTTAGTATCCACGTATTATTAGATTTTTCACTCATATATTCAACTTGAGATAAGAGTTTATATTTAAATTTGCATAGTTTTGTGTAAGATATCAAGATACCAGCACAAAAATTCATATGTGTATTTATGAATACAATATTTCCCTGAAAAGAATAAGAATTAGTTTTATAATAAATTTGGTAATAACTAAATCAAAAGATTCAATTTATGTATGTAGGTTAAACTGAACCTATGTCAATCACAATGTGTCAAAACATCATTCATGGAGCGACATCAACGCTATTTTGCAATGAATGCTCGAAATGGACATTTTCAAATACATGCGCATTGAGAAGGTCGAAGACGACGACCAAAATTTATAACAATTTTAAAAAAAAACAAAGTTTAGATTATAATGAGGAAGCGGTTTTATTTTGTACGTATAAATTGTGAAACTTTTATACAAGCAAATATTGTTATAATTGTTATGACGTGACGCGAGAAGCCAAAACAAAAACTCGTATTTAAAAATTTTTTGTCTTTTTATCACAAATTTAGACCGCTTCCTCCTTTATTATTGTATTAACTTTAATCGTGGAAAAGCATTTGTTATTCTATTAACGCAATAAAAACTTTTCGATTGTGGCAAAATATAATCGGTTCAGTCGATAAAAGTAGACCTCCGGCATCCCTTTAATGAAATATTTTTGTAGACGATATCTAGAAGTTGTTCAGACAAGACTAATCAACTAGAATTAGTCATTCGTCGACCACGTCTAATCGAGTGAATGATATAACCTATTTAATCGATTGGCACAAGAAGAAGAATTTGTAATATGCAGAATAATTAAGACAATTTGTGTTCACACAAGAAAGCGTGGACTAAAGATTGTCAATTTACAACTCCTGTTTACGATACAGAAGATTGTAAGCAAGTGTTAAAAGAGATGTCGTAAGATTATGTTCGTTTATAAAAGTGTCATGTATTGCATAAAACCGCTTACCTTGTAAAATTAAGGACGTTGATTTTTTATAGGATGCCGTTGCCGTGCCGGTCGATCACTAAACCGTCCTAAAGAAAAGTTTTGTTGATTGAGATAATTCGGTCCTGGTCCAGAATAATTATTCCCGACTCATAATCGGCAGTATCTGCATTAATGCATAATAATAAATTAAAGCAATCCTAAAACAGTGAAATAAAATTTCAAAACAGAAATATTCTCGTACCTGCGGTTGCACCTCTTGCTAACTGCGAAGTAAATTTGAAATGGTACTTGTACACAGGACACGAGGCCACGGCAACGCTTGCCGCGCGGCAAAATGCGTCGCGATAGCGAATGGTCGCGTTCAGCAGAACAAACCGCTTAGCAGCAAACGAACGAGATTGGTTCTTTATTTTAGAACCAACCAATCAACGTCGACTGTTGACAATACGACAACTCAGCACAGCCGTTCTGCTGAACGCGGCCAATCACGAGCGGATTTTAACGGAACAAAAAATATGAAACGCTCGTCATTGGTCCCACTTAGGGTGACTCTATATATATATCACTGTGGCTGTGGTCTGCACTCTGCAGCAGCTCTAGAGCAAGTTGGATCATCTCCATTTAAATAAAAAATTAATCGATTCAACGATGTATTGATATTGTAAGAATTGGTAAAAAAATCGATTTTTTATTATATCAAAGAATCGATTCTCGATAAATCGATTAAGAATCAGGCATCACTAATTGGCAAATCGTTATTTTGCGTACAGAAATCGCTTACAAAAAGTGCCACTTTCCATGTACGTGTAATACAATAGTATATTGGCTAACAAGTGCGGGAAATCGTAAATCGGCCGAGAGTGCGGAAGTTTGGCGCACGAGGCGAAGCCGAGTGCGATAATCCGCACTCTCGGCCGATTTGCGACCCGCACATGTTGGTCACGATATTTTGTGCAACCGGTGCGTGGAAAGGGAACCCTTTCTAAAATCCCATCATGTGCGGAAAGGGCGACTTTCCGCGCACCTGTTGCACAAACATTTTTCATTGACTGGGGCATATAAAATAACAATTTTTTATTTTTGTATTTCCAGTACACTAGACCGTTGCGCAATTTGTAGTGCTTTTTTCGCCCTTTTCAAGTTCGTCGCGAATCTTTATTATCGCCTTGTCACGATTCTGACAAATAACTAATATGCATTCGAATATACTGCCTTCAAGCACTGTGACAACTGCTGAGCGCGTCCACGTGACTCATACGTCCGCCCGGGCGATGAATAACCTCGCAATCATAATTTTAAAGAAAAAGTGTCCATCGTGATATTCTAGAGTTCGCATCTTTTTTATTCAACGTTAATCGAAAACTATCGCAATCGGTCATTACTTTGAACTTTTGCCCCGCGAGGTAAACGTGGAATCGCTTTATAGCGTAAATGACTGCTAAGCACTCCAGTTCAAAGCTGTGGTATTTCGATTCAGCGGGAGTTGTCCTCTGATTCGAAAACGAGACTGGGCGCCACATCCCGTCGCTCTGCTTCTGGAGCACGATTCTGTCGAAACCGCTGACGCTCGCGTCACAGTGCAGCTCGGTCTCCACGTGCGGCGAATAAATCGCCAACACGGGTCCGCTCGACAAATGATTTTTAAGTGCCTCGACTGCCTTCCGAGGCTCCGAATACGAAGGTCGCGTTTTTCTTAATCTCATTGTACAACGGTTTAGCTACCATCGAGAATCTGGGAATGAACCGACGGAAATAACTCGCTAAGCCGATAAACCGCTGGACCTCTTTTATATTACGCAAGATTGGATAATTCAAAACCGACTTAACATTCTCGCGACTCGAACGGATGCCGTGTTGATTGACACAATAACCCAAATACTTTATTTCTGTTTGCATGAAATGGCATTTATGAAGCCGGAACTGCAACCGACACCAACCGGACAACCTGAAAACCCTTCGCATTTCAATATACTCGCTCACGCTCTCTGTCGCAACTAAGATATCGTCAAGGTATAATATTATTTTATTCTCCCGCACCAATGACGCGTATATCGCATGAATAAATTGCTGAAACACGCACGGCGCGTTTGTCAGCCCAAACGGCATTTGCACGTATTCGTACTGCCCCAACGGCGTTACGAATGACGTGTACTTCACCGACGATGCATGCATTTTAACGTGGTGAAACTCGTCTTAAATCTAGAGTTGAAAATATTTTTTCCTCTTAAGTATTCAATATTATCGTCAATCAGCTCCGTCGGGAAGTAATCTCGCACCGTTACTTTATTGAGTTCGCGGTAATCGACGCACACCCGTAAAATTTCACGTAAGGCCTCCTTGTCCACAAACGACAACCTACGCGGGCGCGAATAGATCGGCTGCTCAAGCTTTAGAATAAAATTCAATTCGAAATCAGGTTCATGACCTTCCGCTTGCAAGTTCCCGAGGTAGCCTGTCTCGTAGGCTTCGCAAACTTTTTTAACGTTCTCTTCACCGACAGCCACGTTAATTTGTAATTTGTCGCGCACATCGACCGGACCGCTGTCGCTCTCGATGACCAGAATCTCACCGACGGCGCCCACCATCTCTACCACTTCAATCTCGATCTTTCTTCCAAGCGTGATTCAACGGACAGACCAGGAAATCCCTACCGAGGAGGACATCAAAAGACATAGCATCATCTGACACGATATAAAATTTTATCTTTATACAAACGTTCTGAATCTCCACTGTACCGCAAAAAATTCAATATGAAGCAACGAGCTATTAATTCCGTGAAATTGCTCCGCACCCTCCTCGATCGACGAACACAACTTGCTCGGAACACCGCTGCTCTTTATTAAACTAATTGGGGATCGCGAATCAACCACCGCGCTATAGACGCGATCATATTCGGCGCGACCATCCACCGCCGAAATCCCTACGTCGAGAATATAAGGTCCCGGGAGCGCAGCGGACCGCAACGCGCCCGCCAGAGCGATCTCCGCCGACCTCCTCACCAATCGCGGGTCCGTCGAACGCCCACACTCGGGACATCCCGCCGTCAAATGTCCCGTCGCTCCGCACCGATAACACGTGCACCCCACCGGCGACCGCCCGCATTGTAATGCAACATGTTGACGCATGCGTCAACTCACCTCACCGATAGCACTCCCTACGCGCCTTCGCCGATCCCATCGACGGCAATTCCATCCTCACGCCAGCAGCTAGCATGTTAATCTTTAGGTATCAAGGTCAAATCAAATTTTCACCCAAATTTCTGTAGTTATAAATGTTTAAAAAAATTCGGATTATTCTACTTTTAGCGCTATACAGGAACAATGACGTGTACGTAGTAAAATTTTGTTTCCTTAAAAGTGCTTGATTAACGTGAGTCCTTTTGCCTCTCACAATCTGCTAATCCGATATTGTCAACCTATCACTGCATTTCAAAAAGATTCCAAAACTTGCGGATAATATTTGCTTCATTGAATTGCTTATTTCGATTTTCGATATTCCCGGGAGAGGGTAGTGTGAGCAAGGTTTACGTGCGGAAAACGACATTCCTTATCATTTTGCAGATTTTTATTCATGATCGATAACTCTCAACTCTCCTGTATTTGAATAGGAATTTGTACCATGGCAAACTGTGCACCAAATGAAGTAGTTGATATTGTGTTGGTTCTTGGCAAAAGCCATAAAAATTACAGGAATGCTTCACGTTTTATGCTGAATATTATCCCGATCGTCGTCATCCAGGCCCGCAACAAATTATAAATATTAAAAGAAGATCTCGTGAGGATAAGAAAAGATGGCGGCAAGTGGAAAGGTGTGGTGCGAGAGTGCTCTGGAAATTGTGTAACAATAAGAAGGAAAAAGGAAGAGGAATCTGTGGTGAAAGGAGGAATAATGAAGAACTGAGGTTGGGAAGAGGAGAGAAGAAGAAAGGAAGGAGAGTGATGGATAAGTAATAGAAAATGGAAGGAAAAGGAAACAAGTGGAGGATGGAGGGACACAAGAAGAAAGACTCGCACGAGGGGAGCAGGAGATGGGTGGAGAAAGGAGACAGGAAGGAAAGAAGGAGGGAATAGGGAGAAAGAAGGATGAGAGGAATAAGGTAGATTTTGGAGAAAGAAAAATACTTTCGGAATTTTGACTGTGAAAAGTGTCCACCTTCTCCTTCTCACTCTCTCTTTCTCCTTCTTCCACTTTCCTCGCCTTTTCCTCTTAACCCTTCACGCGTTCTTGCCTTCACTTGACCTCGTAACCTCTTGTGCCATGTGCTCACTTATGCGCCTCCTATCTGTACACGTGGCAGGGATCATCATGTTGATAAGGCAGGATGGTAAGGAAGGAACAGAAAATTGGGACAGGTGAGAGGAAGGATGGAGAGGGCGCAGTGGAGAAGAGGCGCGCGCACTACCGCGCAGGATACGCGGGATAGGGCCTAGGGAGAAAGCAGAAGAATCGGAAGAACGGAAGCAGGTGTAGAAGAGGGGGCAAGAAGGTGCAGAAGGATCACGTAAGAGGAGGAAGCGGCGCGCGCAGGATCACACAAGAGAGGCGCATAAGTGAGCACATAGCACAAGAGGGTACGAGGTCAAGTGAAGGCAAGAACGCGTGAAGGGTTAAGAGGAAAAGGCGAGGAAAGTGGAGGAAGGAGAAAGAGAGAGTGAGAAGGAGAAGGTGGAGAAGATAAAAGAAGAGGAAGAGGCAGGAGAGGAAGAAAAAGGGACGTGAAGAGGACAGGAAGGAGAGAAAAAGGTTAGAAGCGGAGAGAAGAGAGGTCTAAAAGAAAGAAACGAGGACGGTGGGAAAAAAAAAAGAAGAGGTAAAGATGGAGAAAGGTAAGGGGGAAAGTGAGAAGGGGAGAGGAGGAAAGGGAAGCAGTGAGTGTCGGTTTAAGGAAGAATGGGAGGAAATAAGGTGCAGGATGGACAGGATGAAAGAGAAGATGGAGGAGCTGCTGAAGTGGGTGAAAGGGGGAAAGGAGAAGGGGAGTGAAAAGGAAGGAGACAGGGAGATTGGAAGAAAGGAGACAATGGAGATGAGAGAAGAGGATACACAGAAGGAGACGGAGGAGGTTAAGGAAGAAAAGGAAAAAGAGGAGCTGCAGGGGAGAGGAGAGAAGAAGAGAACAAAATAAAGCTAAGGAGAGTGGAGGAGAATGGTGGGAACTAGTGAGAAGGGAAGAGGTCGAGAAACAGGAGGGAAGAGGTGACCAGGAAAAGGGGGCTAGGAAGAAAAAAAGAAGAGGAAAGGGAGACGGAGAGAAAGATAGAAAGGGGTGAAGGAAAAGAGACAGGAGAAAAGGAGGGTGAAGGGAGAATCAGCGGAGAGGAAGAGAGAAGAGAAGGAGAAAAAGAGAAATAACAGGGTGGTAAGGAAGAAGAGGACGGAGGACAAAGAAGACAGGGAAAGCGAGGAAGAGGCAAAGGGGAGAAAAGGAGAGGAAATGTAAAGGAAGGTGATGGAGAGAGAGGAAAAAGGAAAAAGGAGTAAGGAGAGGGAGGAGAGAGAAAAGAGAGAGAGAGTGGAAAGGAAAGCGGAGGAGTTGGAGAGAAAATGGAAAAGAAGAAGAAATGTGGCATGGAGAGGGCTTGACGGAGAGGATCAGGAGGAGAGGAGACTGGTGATGGAAAAGATGGTGGAGGTGGTATTGGACAGGAAGGAGGGAATAGTGAGGTCATGGGAGGTAAGAGGTGACAATGGTAAAATAATTGTGATGATGGAGATGGAAAAGGAGGAGGACAAAAGGGAACTGCTGGAGAACGGAAGGATGATGTGGAAGAAATGGGAAGTGGGAGTAGATGAAGACTTAACGAGGGAGGAAAGGAGGATTAGATGGGTGATGATAAAGAGAGCGAGAAGAGAGAGGGTCAGAGGAAGGGATGCGATGGTACATGGAAAGAGAATGTGGATAAATGGGGAGGAGTGGATATGGAATAATGAGGAACAAAAATTAAAGAGAAAGAGGGAGTGTAAGGGGATATGGGGATATGGGGAAAAGAGAAGAAAGAGGAAAGGGGGGACGGAGAGGAAAAGGCTGAGCAGGGAAAAGAGGAGATGAGGAGCAAAGGCTAGAGATAAGAATTAGAAGAGGGAGGAAAGGAGGATTAGATGGGTGAAGATGGATCTCTAGAGAGAGGAGAGAGGGACAGAGGAAGGGACGCAAAGGGGTATGGGTAAAGGAGAGGGATAAAGGGGGAGAGATGGATACGAGATGAAGAGAAGGAAAGGCTAGAAAAGTAAAAGAGAAAATAGGAATAGGAAGAGGATAGAAAAGGGCTGGGAGAATAGGAATAGGAAGAGGCTAGGAAAGGGGGTAAAGAAAAGGGAACCGAGGAGAAAAAAGGTTGAGTAGGAGAAAGAGGGGATAGGGGTAAAAGGGATAGGGGGGAAGGGACCAAGTTGCATTGTAAGGTCGCAAATGGCCAGGTGAGGAAGAAGAGGAGCAAAATTATATTTAGGAGAAAAGTGAAGGGGAAAGAGGAGAAGAGAGAAGAGGAGTTATGTTTTTTGTTAAAAATAAAGAGAGAGGTGCAGGACGGAGAAGAAAAACCTGGAACAAGGAGGGAGATGGAGGAGCAGGGGAGGAATGGAGAGAGGAAGAGAGAAAAGAGGGATGAGGACAGGAGAGAGAGGGAAGATGGCAAGCAGCAGATGAAAGGAAAGCAAGGAAAGGAGGGAGGAAGGAGGGAGAGGAGGAGAGAGAAAAGGAGAG